AACGGAATTTCTATTCTTCAATAGCTTAAAGAATTTGTTCTGATTCTCTAATAGGGAACCATTCGTATTATATCTTATCCGAAAAATGCGTTCTGCAGCTATAATAAGTATAGAAGATTCAAGCTAGTTCGTAATGTAGATTGTAAAGTGGATTAATCCGAGGATTCTCATCTTCTTATACCTCGATATTCTGCAAGGGGATGCAAGTAAAGAGCTCTTCTAATCCTATCCCATAAACGAGATATTCAATCCATATTGTTTCCTTATTCCATCCAATACCAAAGGGAAATCTTTCTATAGATTTCTTGGATTTATTATTCACGGGAGACTCTAATGAACCGTTGAATTGCTTATTCTAGCTTGATCTTTCTATTGCCTGAGAAATGTTTTCGATATTATTTAAATACTCATACCAATAACCAAGAGAGTACTATTCCTTGTTCATATCCCTAGTTATAGTGCTTAGCATAGATGATAAGGAATGATGAAGAGTGTTATTGCTAAGCCCTTCTTTCAACACCTGAATGCTCTGTTCCACAATATTAGAGCAATCCGAGTTGCTACTCATGGGAGTGCTGAGCGTGCATTCTCATCCTGCTATTGCTATTTATCTGTAGCGCCTAGGTTTCTGAGGAAACCATTCTGAATCTTCCTTACTCGAGAGATATATTAAGCAGTTATCATCATAGCAGAATGTTCAGCTGAGACTTCCATAATCAACAGAATCCGATACTTACTCCAAGGGAGTGTTTTTGCTCAGTTGATTAGGTTCCTGTTGTCAAGCAACATTCATCTAGCATTCTTTCTGAACTAGTTGCTATTTGTTCTTCCAGAATTGATAGCAGTTGCATGCAATGTATCCTTGTTTGTTGCAGTTGTAGCAAGTAATGCTATTCCTCTTGCTATACTGCCTGTTAGCTGCATCGAGTTCTATGGAACCAGCGTATGTAGTGCTGCTCTAGACTGTACTGCTATATCGACTGCTATTCTTGTTTTAGAGTTTCTTGCTCATATTAGCTGGAAATCTCCAAGTCTGGCTTCCTCCCTTCTTGAACTTCTTCACCCATCGTTCATACAAACAGTTGTTAATGCGGATAGCTTGATTAGAGAACGTCGCGAAGTTCTCCAGCTAATCCTGCTTAGAGATTTCATTCTTAACATCATCCTTAAATCCCTTATAATAGTATTCCATAAGATTTTTATCTTCCTACGGAAGTTTTGCTAAGAGCTGCTTGAATCTGATTATATAAACAGAAGCTAACTTAGTCTGTTTGAGATCCATAAGCTGCTGAGCTGTAGTACATTCTTCGTTAGGATTACCAAAGATTTCTTTGAAAGCCTTTTCGAAGCTCTTAAAAGAATCGAATATATTCTTAGTATTCTGGATACGTGCGTTAGAATTATTCTGATGCTCCAAGTGGTTGCATAAAGAAGGCTTGTATCAGATAAGAGCATCCTTTTCGAAACGAATCCCTGCAAGAATAACTTTCTCAGATTCCTTGATAAACTAAGTCTCGTGATGCAGAAAATACGCCCTGCAGTAGGTGAGGAATCCATGCAGCATCTTTTGGTTGCTATCATACATAGCAAGCTTGTTCATCTTGTATGCCTTTTCAGCGCCACTGGTGGTTGCAGAGGTGGACTGCGCCTGCTGAGCCTGTTGGGCTAGCTGAGCCTGTTGGGCTAGCTGAGCCTGTTGGTTGGCGATAGTAGCGCTCTGAGCCTGCTGTTGTTCGCGCAGATCCTGGATACGCTGGATGAGCTGGTATACCTGATTAACCAGTTCTTTCTGAGTAGAAGCGCGCAAGAACGAAGAGATTCCTGGAGAAGCCATCGTATTCCGTATTGCTCAAGGAGTAACACTGAACCGTTCTTAAACAAGAGTTGTCAAAATGTAATGAGCACTGCAGCAATCCGGAGATTCCTAAGTATACGAAGGGGTTTATGCTAACAAGAGCAGTATCAAAGTATCAAGTTCTTGAATACGGAACCGTACAAGTCTTAATAAGCGATGCAAGTGTTCACTGCCTTTGGAGCTATCAGAGTAGAGAGTAATCTGATACTTAGATTAACAACTGAAGAGCTATATACTGAATCTATCTAATGGTAATGAACGTGTTCTTATATATCCAGCTCTTCAGTATGGATATGTTGGATAGCAACATATCCAAGTTATCCTGTTAGCTCTGGATAGCACATATCCGAAGCTATCCTTCCTGATTGGTCGTGCCCATAACCCTAACCCTGGGTTATGTAATCAATGCTTTGTCAGGATGTTGAGTCCTTAACACCTGGTCCCTGTTACTCGTGACCTGTTCTGTGACCTGCATGTTGGATGAGTCATAACAAGTTGCTAGATTAATAATCTCTAAATCAGAACTAGTTTAGCTAAGCATAGAGTTATACTCAATAATATCTGAAATCCAGAATATAGCATTATTGCTTAAATCTGCTTTCTAAACTTCGAGAATATTATTATCTGATTTCTCTTGCTAGAAAGCTCTTATTGAATCCAGCTTTTCTGCTAATAGTTAGCTAGATTAAAGCTTGATATCTTCTTTCCAAAGTATAAGCATCTTGGATTCTCAAATACTATTCATATTCTGTATAAACTTTTTGAGATTAATAGCTGAATATATGCTTTTTAGCAAAACTTCATTTATAGTTTTAAGCTTATAAGTATATTTGTTTAAAATCTAAGCAATTAGATATAAATCCTTCTACTTATAAGAAATCTTAATATTATATAAGTAGCTTATTTTCTAAATGTGATTATAGATAAGTATAAGATTTCCGATATTTAGTTAAGATTTTTATATCAGATTCTGCATTTAATTTTTAGCTGCAATCTTTTGATAATATATCTGGATAGCTTTAATTGCTTTCTATATATTATTTTTCTTAGCTATAATCATTCTTAACTGTATTTCAAATACTTTCTAAGAGGATTAGTTTTCAGTTCATATAAGAACTCTTTATATTAGGATTTCAGTTTCAATTAGAATAAGCAGCTTCCAATCGAAAATCAAATAGAAAGAGCTATATTTATATAACTAGCAGATTATAATTCTTTCAGCAAAAAGTGCAAGTTTCAAGTACTGCTTTCATCTCCAGAATTGAGTATTAGCTAGCTTAGCAAGAGTATTTGCTAAGAAAAGATAACTAGCTTCTATTTATTCTTAAGCATAAGAATTATAATTAGAGATCTGAATAAGCAGAATTTTAAGAGCTTTAATAGTTTTAATCATCTTAGCTTTATTTTCTGATTCTTTATTAATAGTAATTTTGAGAGAATATTCGAATACAAGAATGATTTCTTCTAAAATGAACTTTTTCATTTCCGCAGCTATAGCTTTTTTAAGAAGTTTTACAAGTATATAGCTAATTAGATTATAGCAAGCCTTTATAAGATATTTATAACTGCTATTCTCAGCTATATATTGAATATTAATGCTGATTCTTGTAAAGAGTTGATTTGAAAGAATTGGAATTACTCCTTTCTTCTATATCTTTAAATCGAACTTTATACACTTTTTGCAATCTGAGATAGCATTAGCTACATCTATTCAGAGATCTCTCCAGTAGTAGAATTGCTTAATATAAGCTACTATAGAATCTCGATCTCGATATTCAAACTTAGTATAATATTCTCTAATGATTTAGCAACAAAGATCAGAATCATCTACTATTCATTAGCATAGAAGTTTTATACTAGCACAGCGCTACAAAGCCTGATTAAGTATTTAATGCTTTAATGCTTTTATTATAAAGTTCTTACAATTTCTCTTAAAGAGTTTTAATAAAATGATTCTGTAGCATAAGAACTTTGTATACTATTTCAACTATTCTATTTACTAAAGAATTAGATTTAGTAGTAATACTAGATTAGCTTTATCTAAATTTATGCTATTAAGCTAAGCATTATATCAGTTCTCAATATTGCTATCTTTGTTTTCCTTAAATAGCATTAAATATAGAAATTGAAAAAAAGTATTAGCTATAGAATTCTTTGATTCAGGAATATATTTAATAATGAAATTAAATATCTTAATTACTGCTATTCATCTGTTTAGAAAAGCATTAGATATATTATTTATTTCTTTATTGAATTAGTTTATCAGAATATAAGCATTAGTTTCCAGAATGAAATAGCAATTATAGAAATGCTGCTAAAGAGATTATAAGATATAGAGAATAGCGCAATATTTCTTCTTAGTAGCATTATACTTCTGTACTGCAACTATTCAGATTTTGCTAATAAAATATGCTAGCTTTCATTTATTCTCTACTATCTGCATTAATACAGCATTTCAGCTTAATAAGCTTATATCTATTATAAGAATAATCTTTCTAGTATTAATGCTATAATTAATTGAAATAATAACTAAATAAGATGTAAGTATTCGAATAAGTATAATAATAGCTTCTTTTTATTTCTTCTTCTATCTCTATACAATACTTTTCTTAAGAAGATTGTAGAATAGTTAAATAATAATTGCAAAGTTTTAAATCCAAGCTATATAATAAATGATTAGTTTGATAAAAGAGCGGATGTTTTTAATATTCTTGCATTCTATTTAAGCTAAAAGCTTTTCCATCTTTCTGTTCTGAGATTATTGTTTGCTAAAACTAATAATATAACTAACTATATTGATTTTTACTTGGTATTATTCTGATTTGAATGCTGAGATTGTAGCTTTAGCTAGCTCTGTATTTATAAGAATCTTATTAAGATTTCTGATATGCTTAGCAATGTATCTATATACTCTGGAAAAGCTTGGAATCTCTTTATTTCTATAGATTATTATAGAATTACAAATAGAAATATTATTAAGAAAAAGCTAGTATATATAAAGAATAAGATTATATAAAAGCTTAATTATTATTCTTATAAACTGAGCAACAGAGTTAGTAGTATTCTGAAATAGAATATATATTCTGAATAAGCTTAAGAGCATTGAAAAGATTATTATATCTCTGCTATTAAGATGCAATTATACTTAATTATACTTAGAAAAGAAATCAAGTAATAAAAGAATCTTGTATATAGCAAACTTCTCTGAGAATTCATCTGAGGCAGACAGTATAAAGGCATTCTTGAAGCTGTGCTTATTATATTTTTGAGCATTATTAATCAAGCATAAGCTATTATTCTTTTTGATAATAAGAAATCAGTTGTTTCTATATAATGTATAGCTTTTCTTAATAATCTTCTGCTTGATATATTATTTTAGAAGCTTTATTAGCTTTAGCTTAAGAGCATTGGAAATTGAAATATACTTTGCTTGAAAGATCTTATAGAATATAGTTCTGATTTTTTGCAAGGAAGCTACTTTCTTAATAATCTTTCTAATCTTAGTAAAGTTTTATGCAAGAGCTTTGATTCTGTTTTTCAATATATATTTGAATATTTCCTTCTTAGCTTCAGAAAACTCTTTATAGTTTTTCTCTTGCATAGCAGCTTACTGGTTAGGTTTCAGGTGCTGATTAGGATTCAGATTGCTGAACTTGAGTTTAATTTATTCATTATACTTGGTAAGCTTTGTGAATTGCTAAGCTTATTTTATCTTCTTAATCTTAGTAAGCTTTTATCCGATTGTTCCTTTTAGTACTGAATTATTAAGCTGGGAATTATTAATTAGCTTAATCTTCTTGTTTTTGAGCTTGTAAAGAATATTAATCAAGCTTAAGATATCTTTTCTTTCCTTCTTCACATAATATAGCTAGCATGAATAATGCTGGCTGCTATGCATTTCATATAAGCAAGATTCTCGGGTTGCTCCTTTCTTATTCATTATAAAGCAATCCTTCTTCAATTTCCTTCTCATTAGTTCTATTATTAACTTGTTTACAATAGCTGCAATATCTTGTTCAGATATGAATATCACAGCTATATCTCTCTTCTTTAATAATACTTACTCTGGAACAATTTTTCCGCTGATAGCTCTGCATTCCTTAGAGTAGCTGCTAGCATTCAGTTTTTTGATATAGTTCTATATAAACTCTTCTCTTTAAGGAGTTTCTAACTGCTGATTATAGTAACTAGTTGTACTCCTCCAAAAGCAAAGCTTATATAGAGAAATCCAGGAATAGAGTGATTAAAGGAAAGCTTGGTTTGCATTACAAACAGTATTTCTAATAGTATAGAATAATTTAATAATATTAATCTATTGTTAATGATATAGAATATTATCTGTTTAGAGAAGCTGCTACAGAAAATATTGGTTTCAAGAATTCTAATAAGTGCTATATCTGATTCATTGTATATATATAAGATAATATTCGATATTAGCATATAAGATAAGCGTATGCTTGAATACAGAGAGAGAGCTATCAAGCTTATTTTAGTATTTATATTCAGCATTGCTTATATAGATTCATTCTCTTTACTTCTCAGCTGCAGAGAGATGTATGCTACTGGAGCAATGCTCCTATCTCGGATGCTGCTGAGAGTAGTTATGAAAGCTGTTATAGAAGGAAATGAGGATTTGTTGAAAGCTTGAATTATATTAATAGTAAGCTTAATATAGCTAGATTTAGCAACAAGAAATAAAGCTTGAACTATAGATAGTTGAGCTAGTCTTGAAAAGTATTTAGTAATATTCCGAGTATTGATAATCTGATTATTAATAAGCTTTTCAAGCTAGGAAAGCATTGAGATTCCGGATTTATACTGCAATAAATTAGCTGATTTAGCAATATCTATCTTGTACAGATCTGAGCTAGTTTGATTATTGAGATTAATAACTTTTCAAGCTTTAAAGCTAACTTCTTGAAGACTGTAAATCAGATAAGCTTCTTATTCTGATAATATAATTGTTATCTTCTAGCCTGAGATTTTCAATGAGTGATCTAGAAACTGATTCAGGAGCTTGTTACTAATAGCTTGAACTATTAGCTCTCTGTTTAGACTGTTAGATTGTTTGTTGAATTTCTCTAGTTCAATATTTCCGAAATATATAGAAACTTCAATAGTTCTTATACTTGCATCTCTTTCAATCTTACTATTATTATATTCAGCCTTTCTAATACAGCGCTTCTTTGCTTTATCTGCATTTATCTGAGCTTAAATGTCAGGGCCGATTGTGCCAGCAAGGCTCAGAGCCAGCTAAGCCAGCTGGATTACGGATGACTAAGCAATATGCGGCTATAAAGCGGCTTTCTAGCCACATCAGCACTGCTGAGCAGAACTTAGCTCCTTAGGCCTCAATGTTATTCTGGTTGTATACCCCTGAAAGAGAGAAAGACTTCGCTACATTGCTTTTGCAACCTTTCCACCTGACAGTTTGAGGCCTAGCCCTTTTAAAGGAAGCAATCCGGCGAGGCTTTCTATCTTTTTTTTTCTTTCCTAGGAGCAGCGCTAATACTGAGCAGAAGCAGAGCAAACGATCAGACTACTATTCTTTTCGAACCTTCGAGCCTTTGACCTTCGAGCTTTTAACCTTCGAGCCTTTGATCTTCGAGCCTTCGATTTTCGAGCTTTCGAGCCTTGAATACAGCGAGCAAGCAGTACTAAGCAAGCAGTATGCAAGCAGCATGCAAGAAGCATTCAGAAGAGATTTAGAGCATTCGAGTTGCTAAGCTAGAGCATACAGCAAGCAAGCAGTATCAAGCAAGCAGTATGCAAGCAGCATGCAAGAAGCATTCAGAAGAGATTCAGAGCATTCGAGTTGCTAAGCTAGAGCAAACAGCAAGCAAGTAGTATGCAAGCAGCATGCAAGAAGCATTCAGAAGAGATTCAGAGCATTCGAGTTGCTAAGCTAAAGCAAATAGCAAGCAAGCAGTATGCAAGCAGTATGCAAGAAGCATTCAGAAGAGATTTAGAGCATTCGAGTTGCTAAGCTAAAGCATATAGTAAGCAAGCAGTATCGAATAAGCAGTATGCAAGCAGCATGCAAGAAGTATTCAGAAGAGATTCAGAGCATTCAAGTTGCTAAGCTAGAGCAAACAGCAAGCAAGCAGTATGCAAGCAGTATGCAAGAAGTATTCAGAAGAGATTCAGAGTATTCGAGTTGCTAAGCTAAAGCAAACAGCAACAAGCAAGCAGTATACAAGCAGCATGCGAGAAGCATTCAGAAGAGATTCAGAGCATTCGAGTTGCTAAGCTAGAACAAAGTATATTCTTCGCTATTCAAGCAAAAGAGCAGAGTAAGCAAGCAGTAGATCTGAGTATCTTCTGTTTTCGAGAGTATATTCTTTGCTATTCAAGCAAGAGAGCAGAGTAAGCAAGCAGTAGATCTGAATATCTTCTGTTTTCGAGAGTATATTCTTTGCTATTTGAGCGAGAGAGCAGAGTAAGCAAGCAGTAGATCTGAGTATCTTCTGTTTTCGAGAGTATATTCTTTGCTATTCAAGCAAGAAAGCAGAGTAAGCAAGCAGTAGATCTAAGTATTTTCTGTTTTCGAGAGTATGCTCTTCATTATTTGAGCGAGAGTACAGAGCTGAAGCAGAATATCTACTTAGCAACTAAAATTGCTTAAGTATTAGATTGCAAACTAATTATTCTTCTGCATCTAGCAATAGAGCGAAGTATAATAATAGCTTCAGAGTTGCTAAAGAGTAATTTTCAAAATGGAAAGCTATAATTATCCGTTATAGCTGCAGAAATGCTATTCTGAATGCTGAGCTTCTTAGCTGCAAACTAAGTTCCTAGTGAAAAGCTTGCAATCTATATCAAATAGCTTTAAGTTCTGAAGAATGCTTGGATAAAGCGCTGAAGGAGCAGCAATTGAGCAGCGTATATAATGCAGGTATTGCACTTGGAAGATTTATATCTGGAATGTGATTAAAAAGAGATTTTTTTTTTTATAAGCTTCGGGGATGAAGCCAGAAGAGAAGAAGGGAGATGGTTGAGAGGCTTTGAGAAGCCTTGAGAGGCCTGAGGCACTGAGAGATCTTGAGAAGCCTTGAGAGGCCTGAGGCACTGAGAGATCTTGAGAGACCTTGAGTGGCTTAGAAGCCTGAGGCACTGAGAGATCTTGAGAAGCCTTGAGAGGCCTGAGGCACTGAGAGATCTTGAGAGGCTTTGAGAAACCTAAGGCACTGAGAGATCTTGAGAAGCCTTGAGAGGCCTGAAGCACTGAGAGACCTTGAGAGGCCTTAAGAAGCCTGAAGCACTGAGAGATCTTGAGAGGCCTTAAGAAACCTGAGGCACTGAGAGATCTTGAGAGGCCTTGAGAGGCCTGAGGCACTGAGAGACCTTGAGAAGCCTTGAGAAGCCTGAGGCACTGAGAGATCTTGAGAGGCTTTGAGAAACCTGAGGCACTGAGGGATCTTGAGAAGCTTTGAGAAGCCTGAAGCACTGAGAGATCTTAAGAGCCTGAAGCATTGAGAAGGCGTAGGAGCAGCTAGGAAGCAGCGAAAGCCTGGAAGCAACGGAAGCTTGGGAGCAACGGAAGCTTGGGAGCAACGGAAGCCTGGAAGCAACGAAAGCTCGGAAGCCTCAAAGGCCTTAAGAACAAGGCCTGATAAGAGGGGATAATCTGTTAGGGCCGATTGTGCCAGCAAGGCTCAGAGCCAGCTAAGCCAGCTGGATTACGAATGACTAAGCAATATGCGGCTATAAAGCGGCTTTCTAGCCACATCAGCACTGCTAAGCAAAACTTAGCTCCTTAAGCTTCAATGTTATTCTAATTGTATACTTCTGAAAGAGAGAAAAACCTCGCCACATTGCCTTTGCAACCTTTCCACCTAACATTAAATAAGCTTAATATCTATAGCATTGATGCTGAGAAGCTTTAATAAATACAGTTCAGCTTAAGCTGAAGTAAGATATAACTTTCCTACTTGAATCTTACTAGCATTGCTGAGAATCTCAATATTATTAGTTCTGTATTGATTATTGCATTTGAGAACAGCATTGATCTCTTTCCATAGTATCTTATTCTTAGCTATTTCAGAGTTTTCATACTATTTCTCATTCTCTTGAATCAGGCTAATATATCAAAAGATCTAAGGATTCTCAATACTCTTTAGCTGCTAATTCTTATAGAAACTAAGAATCAGATGAATTATATTGTTTTTGGGATTATCTCAAGCGGATATAATCTAGCTATATAATACTAGTTTTGATCTAGAGTTCAGAAACTCTAAGCGATTGCTAAGATACTATTCTAGCTTTGCTAATACTGGAGTATAGCAAATGCTACAATTCATAATAATATGGAGTTCT